CTCGATTGCCTTTTTTGCTTGCAGAGAGAAACTGCTCCAGATTTCTTTCTGAGATACCCAACTGGTCGAAAGGCGAAGCATTTCCAGCATTAGAGAATCTTTGGTCTTTCCTGCTCTCTGCTATCGTTTTACTTGTAGATAACCTGTCTGAAGCGTGTCTATGAATGGGATACATGCCGTTTATTATCAGCAATAAAATCCTCCAGTGCTGCGCAAATGCATCCGAAAGTGTCAGTCAACTCCTTCGGAAGATGATGCAGAATCGCGGAAGGCGGAAGCGGATATTCGCCATGTCGGCGATGTCTGTTGTCATCGAGAAACCCTGTCTAGTAACCCAGTCGTCCCCCTACCTCAGTGCCGATTGTATCATCCACCCCTCCAATGTTGAAATCAACATCGGGCCGTGAACCAGCACCGACCCTTAACAGCTGCAGAATTGCAATTCCACAAACCAACATTTACTTGGAAGCCAAAGCTCTATAGTGATTTGACATTTAGTTATGGCTTACGAAGCGGCCATTCCTAGGGTTCTCAATGGACTCTGACAATGGGAAGTGGAATCTTAAACTGGCGGAGACTGTCCGTCTTGAGCTCAAATTGCGTTGCATCCCCTAAGCCTATTCCGATGAGGTATTCCGAGAAGGAAGAGGACGAGTAAAAATCTCTGCATGGTATATATGTTTCGCGGCGATCGCGTTTCTTCTCCTTCCTTCTCGATCGCTGACGCTATGCAGTGACCTTGTCCCTCTCCCGACACTACTGCCATCCAACGGCGAAGCTCTTGTCTCCCGAAACACTGTCCTCAGCCCTACCCGCTAGTCTTCCGTCCCTCCCGTCTCTTGGTACTTGGCGTCTCAATGGCTTGGCGAAGGCCCTTTGGAGACCGCGCTGCGGCGTCTGGCACCGTTACCGAGGGCCAGGTCGAACAGATCTCCAATGGAAGCGTTCAGTACATCGGTGAGAAGGGCGGCAATGATGCACCTCCGACATACCAAGACGCCTCCGGCGCGCCCGTTGAGAACAACTCACCTTTGGGGTATTCCGTCGGGCCGGTTACGATCACGTTGCTGAACATCACAATGATGATCGGTGCTGGTATCTATTCAACACGTGCGTTTTCTCTCCGGGCACTTCGCAGTTCACAGGGCATGCTGACATTTCCAAGCTGCTTCGATTCTCGCGGGCACTGGTTCCGTTGGTGTCAGTTTTGTCTATTGGACTCTTGGTTACTTGGTAAGTCATCAAGCCTTCCCATGCAGGCAACCCGACAGCGGCAGCTAGAATGGCAACAATGGCTGACCCAATCACGCGATCAGCTATGCATGGCATCTGGGGCCGTCTACCTCGAGTTCACCGCATACTTCCCCAGTCGATCCGGTTCCGAAGTCGTCTTTCTCGAACAAGCCTACCCCCGTCCCATGTGGCTTTTCCCAACCACATTCGCGGTACAGAGTGTTATTCTATCCTTCGGAAGTGCAAATGCGACGGGTGGGTGCATACGCTAGACGAACTACGACATAATCGCTGATCAGATGCAAAGTCATGGCAAACTACCTGATTGCCATATCTGGCCATGAGGGCACAGATTGGCAAATCAAGGGGACCGCCTTAGCCTGCTACACCCTAGCCACACTGAGTATGTTGCAGTTAATCTTTACGTTGGTTTCAGTAGGCTGACCATCTTCAGCACTTGTGTTCAACACCAAGTACGCTTATTGGTTTTCCAACGGCGTAGGGATCGTGAAGATTTGCACTTTGCTTTTCGTCATCATCACTGGTTTCGTCGTTCTAGGCGGACACACAAAGGTTCAAGACCCCACGGCAAACTTCAAAGATGCCTGGTCTGGTAGCTCTTCGGCTACTGCCTACGGCATGACTACTGCACTTTACCGCATCATCTTCTCATACGGAGGTAATTTCCAGTGGAATCTTCCGGCTACTTTCGAAACCGAAGTCGAGTCAACTAACGCATGAAAAGGTTATAACAACGCATTCAATGTTGCCAATGAAGTGAAGGTATGTGGCCGAATGGCCGAGGATCCCCCACAAGTAATGATATGCTTATTAGAGTGCCCCTGCAGAATCCCGTCAGATCCCTCAAGATCTACGCTACCGCAGCTTTGACCACGGTCTACGTCCTTTACATGTTCGCCAACGTTGCTTTCTTCGCTGCTGGTGAGCTATGACCCAAGTTATTGGAAAACAGCCAAGCGCCCCCAGAAAGGCTAACTGATTGTTTGTGATTAGTACCAAGAGAAGATCTTGAGAACTCCGGCTTGACAGTCGCGAGCCTGTTTTTCACGGCAGTCTTCGGGAACTCAGGGGCTGTGCGTGGTCTGAACTTTCTTATTGCACTGGCCTCTTTCGGAAATATGATCGCGGTTATTATTGGCCTTTCTCGCCGCATCAGAGAGTGCGGCCGCCAAGGCGTACTGCCTTGGACAAGATTCTGGGTATCTACGAAGCCTTTTGGAACGCCGTTGGGACCTTATGCCGTGATTTGGTTTCTGACTGCACTAATGATTCTTGCGGTGCCGGCTGGAGACGCTTTCACTTTTGGTACGAGCCCCATACATGGCCCCGAGCTCGGCGTGGGACCCGCCTCGCTAACGATGCCACAGTCAACGATCTCGGAGTCTTTCCCCAGGCCGCCTTTAACTTGGCCATGGCTGTAGGTATCTATGTCGTCCGCTGGCGGCGGAGTAAGCTGAACCTCCCCGAGCCCGAGTTCAAAGCGTGGCACGTGGTGATCATCTTCAACATCTGCATCCAGCTTTACCTTCTGATCATGCCATGGTACCCGCCAGCAGGCGGACAATACGCTGGTGACGTCAGCTTCTGGTATGCGACGTACGCGGTGACCGGTGTGGGAATGTGAGCAGTCTTTCTCCCCAATAATCTGACTCGCAACGGCTAACGAGATTGCAGTCTTCTCGCCTGTGCAGCTTACTACTGGTTTTGGGCATTCCTCATCCCAAAATGGAAGGGCTACAAGTTGCGCCAGGAACTCATTAGTTTTGAGGACGGTGCTCAGAGTAACCAGCTTCGGAAGGTCCCCTACGCCGACGTTGCCGAATGGGATGCTACTCACGACGCGGCTGGGCGCATCATCAACAACACCACCGTTACCGAAGCTCCGGTCCAAGAGAAGGCTGTGCGCACTTCATCTGAGGGCAGCAACTCTGATGTCGGGAACTCAGTTTCTGTGAGTAATCGGAAAAACGGCGGTGTCTAGCTTATGAGATAATGGGATGCACTGCATGAGCCATGTCTGATCGTCATCTGGTACGGGCGCTGGTGATTAAGTAGCCGGATTAGAGTTCTTGCCTTTTCCCCGAGAAAACCAGCATTCCCACGGCACGCGGGGTATTGCGCAACACAAATCAATATATTATTGAGCTTGCGCTGATTGCGCCGAGTCGACTGTGCACGTGAAAGGCTGCATGAACATGAGTCGCCCTGCCAAGGCAGTCACTCAGCCTAACTAAGCTCAACCTGGGATAACTGCACTGAGGCAATCATCACGATTAATGAGCCACAATTGTGGCAGATTACGGCTACCGTTCAAACTGCTGATAGGCAATCTATCGGACAACATTGCCTTGGCTTGGAGGGTGCGCTAATGTTGGTTTCGTCACACAACCGCGAGACACATGGGAAGGGTGATCCCGTTCCCTACCGGAGCACCCGGCAAGAAGGTTATTTAGACAGCTTCGGCATGCCTGGCAGAACGAGCCCGGCCGAGGGATGGGCCATGAAGGGCCAGACTGGGGACTTGGCGCGGCACAGGGCCGGCTGGGTTCCTGCGCTTGAGTCAGGGAATGCCCTCGTCACACAGCGCGGCTGTGGCGTTAGCGCCTCGCAAACCGTCGTTCTCGTTGTCTGCGAGGCTCTCGTGCTTCGGACTTTGGCATCGCTATCTTTTCCATCTTTGACTCGTCACATTTCATGCAGCATCAGATGATTGAACAAGGCACATCAATTACGTCAATGTCAATCCTCAATATCGAAATGCCCTTGTTCCCCCAACCCCTCAGACCCGCGCAAATCCATCCGTCTGCTCCTCTCCGGTCCTCATCGGCCAGCATCCGCAGTCGTCTCACGGTCCAGTAAGACGTCCGGGCGTGCACAACCGCGCGGGCGGGCGGGCGGCTTGAATCGCACGCGCATCACACGTGGTTCGTGGGCTCGCGATAACGGGCGGGGTACTTGTCAATTCTGCATGAAAGGGTAAGAAAGTGCATGTACCAAGTGGAGAGCTGATAGCACCCCGAGGGCGAAATCGCCACAGAATTGAGTTCCCCGATATTAGGTCAAGCAACGTGATCCCTCTTTCAACGCCCATCAACTCCATCATGGACCCAGCAAATTGGCCGGAGAGGTTGCACGGGCTCACCAACCGACATGTCAATGTGAAACCCCGACCCAGCGGACATCGGACGAACCAATGGACCATTCAGCCGGCTCCAGGGGTCATGATTCAGTCCTGGCCTCACCCTTCCCACCGGCGCAATCGCTCATGCCGAATCGAGGCGAGTGGCTCACTGCGTTAAACCATCTTTAGGATATATTGCAACCCAACTTCAAGAAACTCTGCGTGGGGCGAATCAATATCAGACAGCCCGCATGCATATTGTAGTATTTCGAGGTTTTATGCCAAGAGACAGATGACAGATTCCCAGGGCTCACGCACATGAGAGCCAAACCAGAAATAGACATAGTTCAACGGCTGGAGATACCCACGAGGCGTTCCTCGAATCTTGGGTCGGTGTATACGGACCTGTCCGCGGCAATGCGACGGTGCCTTTGAAGATACTTATGTGCAGCCCACGATCCAGCTGCTTGGGATCCTCTGTCTTGGTTCTTCTAGGGTCGCAGCAGATGGCCGCATCTGGTATCATGCTCCGCGCTCGCTGAAACGTATAGCTGGACTAGATATTCATTCTTCAAGCAGACGATTCCTGGTCTCTGGTCTTCTTGCATCTTCGTTTCAACTTGACATGAAAGGCCTCCTTCAGTGGGCGCTTGTCCTGCTGCCATGGGCAGCTGAGACCGTCCGAGGTCAGGCCAGTAACACGACCACTTCGCCGCTTGATCTCATCAGCCAGATCCCTCAATGCGCGGTGAGTTGTCTGTCGCAAGGTCGCGAATATCAGCGAGATCTAATCTGTGTATAGGTATCGTGCGTCACCGATTCTTTTCTTGGGTCAGGATGCCCACTCGACAACATCGCTCAGTGCGTTTGCACCAACACGACCCTGTTGGAGGGCCTCTCTGGATGCGTGCAAACCTCCTGCGAATGGCGAGATCAACTGAGTATGTGTTTTGGTTTCGGGAATTGCAAGCATGGCTGACAGACAATTACAGAGTTGTCGTATATGACCGATGACCTTTGCCGACCGTACCCCCACGCATCCCGAGATCTCGAAATCAAGTTGGTCGTAGCCGTGCTGGCTGTGCTTACGTTCCCCGTTGTGATTCTGAGACTTGTCTCAAGACGGTCTATCGCCGGAAAGCTGGAGTTGGACGATTGGACTACGTTGGTGACGGCTGTAGGTGCCAATGGCTTCCTTTTTGTCTCTCGGTAAATACTGACCCGTGCGGAAGATTGTTTTAGCCGCCACCATGGGATGTGTCATCGCAAGTAAGTTGATCGTAGGCTCTATTTCCACTCATCCCACTAACATATTCAAGGCGCCAAACTCGGATTCGGCCTCCACTACTGGAACGTCAACCCCGCCAACGCCCAGCGCATCATCCAAGTAAGCCTCCAGTCACGACTATCCATGCCTTGATCGAGCACTAACTTTCAGGACAGCTTTATTATGCTGTTCAAATGCTCTATATTATCGTTCTCATATTGGCCAAAGTGTCAATCGTCGCGCTCTTTGCGCGAGTTTTCCCAAGCCGCAAGTTTCAGCTTGTGAACAGACTTGTCTTTGTTTTTCTCGTTGGCCATGGACTGGTCTTTACCTTTGTCATCATGTTCGAATGCACACCGATTGCCGGCATCTGGGACCGGACTCTCATTCGTAAATGTGTGGACCTCAACGCCGTGGCACTGGCCAGCGCTATCCTCAGTATTGTCGAAGATATTGTTATTCTCGCCATGCCCATTCAGCAGCTCAGTCAGTTGCAACTCGGGTCGAAGAAGAAGCTGGCAGTCATCTTCATGTTCAGCTTGGGATCATTGTGAGTTCTTGCTCTTCATCGGCCTTTTGCAATTTCAAGCGCCCCATGCTAACAGACATTAGCGCGTGCATCACTTCGATCGTTCGTCTTCGATGGCTGGTCCTGTTTGCTGATTCATACGACACCACATGTACGTTGCATAAGCACTTGACTCTTGAGGCTGTTTCAGGTTCTGACATCGTTGTACAGGGGATAACGTGGACTTTGTGACATGGAGCATCACCGAGATATCGGTCGCACTGATGTGTGGAAGCCTTCCCGCACTACGACCCCTCTTCAAGAAGATCCCTGGTCTTCTTACAACGATCCGCGGACCGACCGTGGAAATCAAAGAAACACACGACAGAGGCAGCAGTCACATGTCGTTGCGCAACAAGGGTGTTATCCCTATGTCGCCAAAATCAAGCTCAATGGAGCCGGATGTTGAAGAAGACATGATTATAATTCATATTTCAAACGATCACGACCCGCGGATGAAGCCTCTCCCCCCACCACCGCTGCAGCCACTTACCTATCAACCCCCTTGGCGAGGAAGTGGAAGCGTTAGTGGAGGGCACACGACTCCAAGCCTGATGAGTCCAAGCCTGTTGAGATCGCCGAGAACGCCGAGAACACCAATGACTCCGATGACCCCAGGCAGCATGAGAAGCGTCAGAAGAGAGGCGGATGCAGAATACGAGATGGACCTTCGAAGCGTCGTGAATACGAAGACGTGGATGTAGACGGATTTACTTGATACCCCCTTTCCTAACTTTTCTTCTAACCCTTCAATCTTAGTATATATTCAATATTATCCGTATATATGATGGTACTATGGCACGAGTGATGTTGCGCAAATGATACGTGTACCGACGTGTTAAACTTAAGTTTCATGGGTGTTATTAGATTCTCTGCTAAAGTGTTTTGCTGTCCGGGCGGATATTTACAACTCAGCCGGCTGAATATTACTTATCGGTCTTGTTTACGAGTGGTCGCAATTTCCATTATCGTCTTCTTCGGCGTTATCGTTAAGATTTCTTTGTCATCTTCAAGATTATTTCTATTAGCCTATCATCCCTATCTGGCCGCTGAGGTCGAAGTATTCGCACGGAGAGCAAGCTCCTATCTCAATGTACCCTTTACTTATTCAGGGCTCAACGGATGTTGAGGACGACAACAAGCTTATGGTCCATCCAGTGCGAGCCTGATGCAAAAGAATGTGGACGATTACCTCAGTTGGGGACGCTGCTAAGTGGGTCAGTTGTCGCAATCATGTTACGAATCGGAATCCATGGAGTTCTAAGTTGTAAGAGACAGAGAAAGACGACCTGACGTGCAGGCCAAGATAACCGGCCAAGACGCGCCGAGTGAGGCTCGGGCGAGCGCCAAGTCCAACACTTCAACAGTAAGATTCACTCAAGCGACGCTTATCATATGGAACGAGGCGCAGTTGAGTAGTTGACGAATCTTTTCTGTATCATCTTGCCATGTCAGAGTTGGGGAAGTCCGGGCTATTATCATCATCCATCGATTTCTCTTTTGGGGCCTGCTTTCCGAAGTCGTCAATCGGATCGAATGGACAAACATTTTGAGACGTAGAGGAAAATACATGTGCCGTCTGACTGCATGCCTAGAACGAGGCGTAGGTGCTATGGCGTCCGAAGGATTGGTGCACTAAGTAAGGCTGGCGCCGTTCTATGTTGGCTGACGTTTCCGACTGAAGACAAGGGTTGGACATAAAGGGCTGTTTATCTTTAATCTGTCGTTCATTTTCTAAGCTGTTCATTTTCTAAACTCAGATTATCTCTATTCCCTCCAACTTTGACTTGCGATCACACACCAACAGCGCACACAGCAAGACTTAAGAGCCAAGATGGGATCGCTCAATCCCCATGACAACTTGGTCGCTCTTGCCGAGTCGCTCTTGCAAGATGCTAGAAACCTTGCATCGACAGACGATAAGGCTTTTAAGTCTAAGATGTCCATGAAGGCAAAAAAGATGCTCCAACTTACGACAGGGCCAGAAGAAATGATTGGCGGGTTTGCCGTGGCGGTAAGAGTCCCCTCGATAACCTGACTAGTTTCAATGTTATCAAAATACATCAAATGACTGACTCTGGTGAAGATGGGCGAAATTGGCGCACTGAACCAGTTCATGGAATGGAAGCTGTTCGACGCTATCCCGGACAAGGGCAGCATCTCGTACGCGGCTCTGGCCACGTCTATCGACGCAGATGAGAGCCTCGTGGGTAAGTGAGACTTCTGAAAGGGAAGAAATGGTTTGCTGACTGGCTTGATTTGAAGCCCGCCTTGGCGGCATGCTTGTTTCTACCGGCAGACTCGTCCAGACGTCATCGGGCCACGTCGCTCACTCGGCGTCTTCACGAATGTTCAAACACAAGAAACCGATCGGCAATCTCTTTCGAGTCATGTTCAGCCATGGCCTTCGCGGATACACGCATTGGCAGGACTACTTCGCCACATACGGAAACCGCGAACCAGCTGGCGTGTCACACAATCCGTACACATTTGCCTGGGGCCATCCGGAGCTCACCGTGTGGGAACACACCGATTTTGACCCGGAGAGAGCTGAGATCTTTGCATCTGCAATGAGATCCCAGGGTTCCATCGCCGGGCGGTATGGCGGACCGGCCTCGATCTATGACTTTTCGTGGATTGGAGAGGAAGCCATGTCTGCCGCATCGGAAGCAAGGCCGCTGATAGTGGATGTCGGTGGAAACCATGGCGATACGCTCAAGCATATTCTCGAAGCTGTGCCAAGCATTCCGCAGCATCGATGCGTCCTCCAAGACCGCCCAGATGTGATCAGCGAGGTGACGAGGGAAGACGATCAGGGGCTGAGCGAGGTCGTCAAAGTCGGGCACGACTTCATGCAGGAGAACCCCACTAAGGGTAAGTACGCCCTGTCAGATAGGAACAAAAAGGTATAATGTCCGCGGGCCGCGCATCAGTGCTAATAGTGCGGTTGCTTGACAGGCGCCATGATCTATCTGCTCCGCCGAGTACTCCACGACTGGTCAGACCAGGCCTCTATTGAGATTCTGACGCATCTCTGCGCCGCATTGCCCAGAGATGAGCCGCGCACTAGAGTTCTCATAATGGAACAAGTGGTGTCGGACCCGCCTTCTGTTAGAAGCGCTGCTGCTGACATGATCATGCTCAACATTGGGGGCAAGGAGCGCACCGAAGAGGGGTTTGAGAAAATCGCCAAGGCATCTGGTTTGAAGATTGTCAGAATCCACCGCAAGGAGGGAACAGAGATTGGAGTGGTTGAGTGCGCGAAAGCTTGAGGAACGGGCTCTTCCGGGTGGCTGCTTATGGCGGGGTGTCATGAGGCAGGTCATGATGTAGGCTAATGTCATGGCACGAGCCGGGCACTGGCGTGCAGGGTGCCAGATGTATTCGCGGTCCCGAGCGACCTGCAGAATAACCGCTACGTTCGTTTCTCTTTCGCACTTTGGAATGACCCGGCTGTCTGGCCCTTTTGCTATCGATGTTGAGATGACATATAGCAAAACCCGGCGCTCTGTTCTGTTTGGGATCCCGACGAGAAAACCATGATACGGCACCGATTCTCATCCAATGCGAGGAGGTTAATCTCAGATCTATGAAACATCAACCCAGATTGTTTGGGTCCTCTCTAACGTCACAAACGTTCAAACTTTCAGAGTTGAACCTCCTCCATCCACAGCACCACTCGGGCTGAAGCTGCATCTGCTCAGACCAGTTGTAACACCGATTCTCCGGAGGCCGCAGACGCACGTCCGCTTTCAACCGTGCCGCGTCCGCAGCCAAGCGATTCGGCCGGTGATGGGCCGATGGGCTCGGACTGGCACGTTCCTACAAAGAACCTGTGCAGCTACAGAACTCGAAATCTGCACGAGGCATTGGAAACGGACTCCCGAAAAACGACATGAGATATGACGAGGAGAAAAAGTGTGTCGGGTTGCAGACGGAGCGGCCATTGAATAGCTCAATGTCGCGCAACACCCTGAGCAGTGTCCCGAGGTGTTCCCCCCAGTCCCTTCTTTCGCCCATACAACTTCAAACCTGAGCAGAAAATCTCCAAGAGCGACGTGAAGAATGGAGGAAACGAAGTATGTGAATGTCGCACAGGAGGAGAGGGATGGCACCGAGGGCTTGGGAGGAACAACGACAGATGAGGCTATCACAACAGACGAGGATGGCCAGTCGACCGAGGACTCGCCGCTGATGACGGATTCGACACCGTCGACGCCAGCACTTGAAGCGTTCGCAACGCCACCGGAGTCCAGGATGCCTTCAAGACCGGCGACGGCTTGCTCCAATACGAAGGAACAACCTGGTGAGGCTCGACGGATAGCACGCCGGCAATCGCGGGCAGAATCCAACAAGAGTGGTAGAAGCGGCTCGACTCCGCGTCAGGAAAGACAATCAAGCAACGAAAAGCAGGAGAGAGTGTCGCAGTCAGACGAAGATGTTTTCCCCGAAGGAGGAACCCGCGCGTGGCTTGTAGCCGCCGGCACAGCCGCGATCTTGTTCTGCTCTTTGGGATACACCAACTCTTTCGGTGTGTTCCAGGCGTACTATATGCGGAATCAACTGTCTGATCACACGCCCGACGATATTTCATGGATCGGTTCTATCCAAGCTTTCCTGGTCTTTGCTTCTGGCGCAATCGGGGGACCTGTCTTTGATCGTTATGGTGCCTGGGTAAGCTTGCTTCGCCCTTTGAACGCTCGTCGCGAATTGGTTCATTGACTGACGGTCTCCAGGTTATTCGCCCGGCAGCAGGTCTATACATCTTTTCAATCATGATGACCAGCTTGTGCCACGAGTACTGGCAGTTCATGCTGGCTCAGGGCGTGTTGAGCGGTATCGCGAACGGACTGATTATGTTCCCTGCCATGGCCGCCACGCCGCAGTATTTTTGCAAGAGAAGAGGCGCAGCCATGGGTCTCGCAATCGCAGGCTCCTCGGTCGGTGCGGTGATATTCCCCATTGTTCTCTCGGAGTTGCTGGACCGGCTGGGCTTCGGCTGGGCGGTTCGAATCTGCGCCTTCATCATGATCCCGCTGCTCATCTTTGCGGCCTTCGCTGTGAAAGCGCGTCTCCCTCCTCGAAAGACTCGATTCTTCCTGTGGACCGCCTTCAGAGACCCTCTTTATGTGTTCCTCATCCTCGGGGTTATGTTCATGTTCATCGGCATGTTCATCCCAATGTTCTACCTTCCGACCTTCGGTATCGCGCACGGAATGGACCAAAATCTCGCAGGGTATCTCGTCGCGATCATCAACGGAGCTTCGGTTCCCGGTCGAATCATTCCCGGAATCTTGGGCGATAAGCTAGGACGCGTCAACATTCTCTTCTTCGCAGGCCTACTCACCGGCATCATGATCTTCTGCTGGACCAAGGCGACGACCAACGCGGGCATCATTGTGTTTGCGGCATGTTATGGCCTCACGTCAGGGGCCATCATCTCTGGAGGGTCTGTGGTCTTCACCTTATGTCCGAAATCGCCGAAAGAGATTGGAACGTACATGGGGATGGGCATTTCGATTGCCTCGGTGGCTGTGCTAATCGGTCCGCCGGTCAGTGGTGCCCTGCTGAACGAGTACCATGGCTTCACGCAGATTTCCGTCTTCGGCGGTTCGGTCTGCATGGCGGGCGTCGTCTTTACGATGATTGCCAAATACTTCTCAAAGGAGGGGCTTCTAGGCTTGGTGTAGTGGCTATGGACAGG